ACCATGCTTAATGTGTTTACTGCTCTCATTACAGGGTAACAGAACTATAATTAGTTTCAGCACCAGTGGGGAGAGAGGAGAAAATCGGCCAGGATTTTTTTGATCAGCCGAATGTCTGATAAATGTGGAAACCCATCACTATGCTTAAGAGTATCCAAACCAAACTGAGAGTTCCATGCATCCCACCTACAAAGGGAATTTCCAGAGATTGTTTATTGGAATGGAATGTGCCCTCTCACCCTGAAAGGGCACATCCTACTTACCTAATTCCAGAAAGTATTAGGTGCAGGTTAGAAAGAGTCAATGCTAGAAGACCACACAATGTGTGCTGGAGTCTAACCAGATAAAGCCACATAACGTGCCATTGAGAGCTCTGCCCTGGCAGGCTTTCCCGCTACTTGTCCAGCTAGGACCACCCTACCAGTTAGGTAAGCACGTTGGCTTGCAGGATTAACGGGAGCTGAGTGGGAAGAGTCCCTGCCCCAGTGACTCTTTCCATCCCCCCAGAGGATACTCAACTGCAGGATGACACCTTAGAAATACATTGCTCCCCCAAGTAATTCATTAGAGTGTCAACAACAAATTACATTTGTATCGTGCCTTTCAAGTCGGGTTGATGTTCCAAGGCTTTGTCAGCTTAGACAAGGAGCTCAGATCCCAATGTGGAGTGTACAACCACATCCTCCTGACTAAGACAAACGTACACCTAAAGCAGAAAAGTATAAATCAGAAGACCCCATTATCTTTAATAAAACAGACATACTGTAAAATTACAACAGTCAATAATAATAATAATCCTTATATTTCATCTTGTGAGCATAGATCAAAGTGTTTCACAGGATTTACTGTAAAGTGTAGTGACTGTTCGTGGAGTCCTTTTGAATAGTGCCATGGGATCATCGACTTCAACAGGGAGACGCAACCCCAGTTAATGTCTCAACTGAAGGATGACACCTCCAACAATGCAGAGTTCCCCAGCACTGCACTGGAGTGTCAGACTAGACGGTGAGCTCAAAGTCCCAAGGTTGGGCTCAATTGAACCCATAGCCTTCTGACTCAGAGGTAGGAGTGTTTCCAACTAAGCCAGGCTGACATCTAATGGATGTATCACCCATCCTTAAATGTAGGCTGCTGCTGAGTTTAAGTTCAAACTATGTGGTGTCCTGTAGCTCAGTGGTTAGAGCACTCGCTTTGCAAGCGAGAGACCTGAGTTCAATTCCAGGCAGAGGGCGAAACCTTGGGCAAGTTTCCTTACTCCACACGCCTAATAATAATCCCTCCATAAAAAAAAACAATAATAAATTGGTCATTTTCAATCTACGACTGTTTGTGGGACATTGCTGTGCGCAATTGGCTGTTGCGTTCGCCCACAAATATACAGTTCAATTCACTTTACAGTATATTCTGTGAAGCGCCTTGGGAAGTCTAGAAGATGTGAAAAGTGCTATATCAAATGCAAGGATTATTATTATTATTTTCCTTATGGACTCCTTGGTTTGTCTTCTTCCAAGAACAAGAAAAAGATTCCTGTAGCTTGGTGTCCTTTTGAACAACAATAATCAGATTTTACATGATCCATAATAGAATGAGAGTACTTCTTTACAAGTCTGTTTATGAAACAAAATCTTCATTTGATCTATGGTGACCATTTTCTAACAATACGTTTGATGGTGAATGTTAAAATATAAGGCTGTGCTGTATGTTATCTAAACAGTTTTGCCTCTTTTATATTGCAACAAAGGTCCCGCATGTCTGACCAAAACAAAATGAAATGTGGCACCAAACTGTGCTGCTGTATTTCAACCCTTTTTCCTCTTTTGTTGACTATCAATTGAAGAATTGTAGAATCAAAGAAAATTTACAGCACAGGAGACTAATTGGCCCTTTAAAGCGCTTTGAGACATCTAGAAACGTGAAAAACGCTGTATCAAATGCAAGGATTATTATTGTGTCTCCACTGATGCTAGGTCTCCTATGGGAGCTGCCTACCGATTCCCATCCCCTGCTCTTTTCCACTAATTCTAGATTCAACCAACAGCCATTTGTGATAAAGCAATCTATATTCTGGGTGTTAAAAAAAAGTCTTGTATCCTGCCATTTTTTCTGGGGATCAACCTCAATTTATGACCTCTTTTTGGTGACTCGCCGATCAGTGAAAATAGTTTCTCTTTATGCTATCAAAACAATTTATTAATGTTGTCAATTCCATTAACCTTGTTTCAACAGAACCGCCCCAAAAATCTTTTGATCATTTTCCGCAAGTGTATGTTTGATAATGTGTTGGAAGGTGTCAGATTGTGTGAATAGTGCAAACCTGCTGAGCTCTCGGAAATCAGCAATTTAGTGGCAGCGGGGAGGGAGACCTGTGGTCGATATTTCTGACTGCAAATCCACTGCAGGTCCATTGTTGCTGGCTTTGCAATGTTACACTTAGATCATTCAGGATGCTGGAAAATGGTCTCATCAGCTCATCAGCTCATTCCTAAAATTAGATATTTCC